AACAACCACCAAGTCAAATTCAATGAACTTTTTTTTATTTGAATTCTATATGTTTGTAGAATTCAAATAAAAAAAAGTTCATCAAATTTAACTTGTTGGTTGCCGAGACATCTTTGCTTAAAGTTAAAAAAACGGGGGTACGAATAACAAAATTGGGGGTACGTATATCGGTCGCCAAAAAAAAAAAAAAAAAAAAACTGACACTTGACAAACTATGTTCTAATTCTAACAACACAATCTTTTTAATTCAATTGATATCAATTGATATCAATTGATATCACTGTGCCTTACGGCATAGTATATCAACCTTTATTTTTAAAATTTTACAAATTGACCACGTATTTAAAGGCGAAAATGTACCAGATTGTAAAACTCAGGAATCCAAGATTAGTCATCATCATTCTCAACATCTGAATCTGGTGTTTGCCAATCTTTTTCCTTAACAACACTATATCCGCTAAAATTTTCATGTATCAAAAGAACAAAAAATTAGTTGTAAAGCGCTTCAATAACTTTACAAATAAAAAAATAAATTATAAAATTATATATACTTACTACTTCTTTGAAACTTTGATGTACTTATCAGAAAATTGCGCTTCCCCTATCATCCTTGAAAAGTTGACATCATGAGTGATGACAATCAGCTGAAAATTTTTCTGTCCACGACGAGATTCAAGTATTCCTTTTAAGCCAGCCGCCAAATTAATAATATTTCCTTCATCAAGATTTGTGGTAGGTTCGTCAAGAACAAAAACGCCACAACTTATACAAAAAGTCTCTGCCAATGCTAATCTAATTATAATTGATGCTAACATTTTTTGGCCGGCGCTGCATCTTCCGCGCATGTCAATAGGCCTGCCCTTTTTGATCATGACGACCTGTTAACCAATAATAATATATAATTTAGGTTAATTATTAATACATTCTATCTGAAACAAAAATAAATATTATCGCTTACCCTATAATTGTAGGAACGATTAGCCCTGGTAGTTTCTTGTTCTGATCTTATCTCTATGCGATCGATATCTATAAGACAATAAAGTGCAAGTAAATAATGCAGTATAATGTATGATGATAATTAAAATTAAAGCCGATAATTATACATACCATCACCCACATATGTATTTACCCATAATTCAGCAATGATCTTGTTAATTTTTTCCATATTCATCGAATGATATCGCATTATAGCGTTGTCAAGTGCCTTGCCATAAGTTTCAAGATCTTTAATACCCAATTCGCTGGTCTATTTACATTGAAAAAAAATAAGTCATAAATTCCAATAAATATGAAAATATATAGAGTCATAATTACTTTAACTATGATAAACTGGTCAGTGTATCTATCATTAATGTCTTTATATTCCGTGTTAAGCTCATTTTGTCCTCTTCGGACAGCCTCTTCTAATTGTTTAAGCTCTCCAGTATACCTTGCAGACTACAAAGAAAATTAAAACTGAGTACGAAAGAACAATAGTGCAAAGATGAATAAATAATAATCAAATAATTTACATCAGCTAACACCGTCTCTTGAATTTTTTGCAGTTCGTCCAATCGAACCTTGTAATTCGATGATCCTTGCCTTTGTTTCACCAAATTCAATTCGTCAATTTGATTATCAAGGCTTACTTTTTCGCTCTGCAATTTTCTGTATTTGAGATTTTCGTCAATTGACCTTTGAATCTCTCGCGCTTCAGATGCTTGTTTATCCATATTTTGCAATTTTTTGGCAAAATTCTCACTGGTAATGGTTTTAGCAGTTATCTGCTGATCTAATTTCTCAATTTGATCATTACATTCGGCCAATCGTTCCTTGCCTTTTCCTTGATTAAATTTCTCTATTTCTCGGTCTAAACTAAGAAAACGTTCGGAATGTTTTTGAACTTCGGTTAATTCATTAATGATAGACATTTCCAATTCAGCTTTCTTTTGCCGAAATTCATTTAATTCGAGATCAGCTTCTCGAATCTTTGGAGTTATTTCTGATAATTCAGCATCTATCATTTTAACAGTATCTTCATGCTTTCTAGTTTCTTCGTTCAATAAATTAATTTCTTTTTGCAAACGGTTGTAGTTTTCTTGTGTGCTTTTCAGACCTTGCAGCTGTAATTTCAAACGGCCAACTTTTTC